TTAGTTTTTTAAGGAATGCCACACTAATTTCCATAGTGGTTGTATTAGTTTACATTCCCACCCACAGTGTAGGAGAGTTCCTTTTCCTATACAACCTCACCAGCATGTTTTTATTTGAGTCCCTGATGATAGCCATTCTTTCTGGAGTAAGATGGAATCCCAGTGCTCCTTCAATTTGCGTTTCTGTAATGCACAAAGAAGCTTAACACTTCTTCCTGTAGTTATTGGCTGTTTAAACTTCCTCCGAGAAGTGTCCATTCACTTCCCTCGTGTGAGGTGCTATGTTAAACGCATGGTACCATCCGCAGGGGGCAGCCCCCAGAGATGGGGAGGCTGAAGCCTCGCCACTGCTCTCCCGTGGTGGCTTTGGAGCAATGTAGGGATTCCCTAGGTGAACAACCCAGCCTTTTCTTTAAACAGAAGAACAGTGTGCCTTGCCGTCCTCCAGGGATTTCAAAGCCACAACACCTTCAGGTAATTTCATTCACAAGGTGTGGTTTTGTGTCTGGCAGAAAGAAGCATGAAAGCTAAGAGCTCTAATTCTGTGTTTCCCACTAACTTATGGATATTTTTCTTATGGGGGGGGCACAGGGGTTCTTTGGGCTGTGTTTCTCCCTTAGTGAAATAAGTATAGTAATACTGTTGCTGTGTCTCATGCCATCATCCTGAAGCACAAATCTAAGAATAGTGTATGCTTTAAACGAACTTTGCTGAGTAGCAGTTGCTGTGTTGCACTTTCTGTTAACAAGGTTTGTATTCTGATTGTTCTGAAGCTAATTAAACTCACTTCTGTTCTTTCATTGTAGGCTGGGGCATTACATTTGTGTCAAGATTGTATACATTCCTTCCTTCCTTAATCTGATTATGAGCTCTACTAACTCTGATTCTATAGCTTTAATTCTGACTCTCTCTGTTGAAATGCAATTTAAAGTTAAAGCTTGAATCAAATGATTGACACCTAAAAGAAGTTTAACCTTAATGTATGACCCTTATTAACTCTTATAACCTGTCATCATCTAAATTTTGTGATATTAAATATCATTGAAAGTAAAAGATCTTAATGTAATATGTTTGTGTCTAGAAGTGAATTTTTTTCCTCAAAGTTTTATGAAACTGACTTATGGAGGTTTTGTTTAAAATTTTCTCTATTTTTGTATACATAGTTTTGGTGGGGTTATATTCAGGTTTTTATTCTTTTTCTTCTCACTCTCCCTCCCTCCCTCTGTTCTTCTTTCCTTCTGTCTTTTGTAATGGGGATTAAACCCAGGGTCTCACACATAGTAGGCAAATGCCCTGCCAGTGAGCTGAGTCCTCAGCCTGGACATAATTTTAAGACTATCATAAATGCTGTACACTTTTTAAATTACTGCTCACGTTGATTAGAATAAGAGGTGGGAGATATTCTGTTTGAGATTCTAAATGCCAACATAGTAAAATTGGTAGGTAAAAGTGAAATAATTCTTCTGAAGACATTTGTGAACAAATCTGCTGGGTGTGGTGCTGCACACCTGTACACCCAGCACCCAGGAGGCTGAGGCGAGGATCGCTGCAAGCTGGAGGCCAGCCTGGGTTATGTAGTGAACTCAAAGCCAGCCTGACCTACATAATGCATAATGAGACGTTGTCTCAAAAGAGAGAAATGAACATAAGTTGCCTTGTCAGGGGAGCTTGGGGTTTCCCCCCTGTGACTTGGGCACGGTGGTGTCCCTGCCTCTTCGTCTTAGCAGCAGTTCAAATCCCGGCACCAGCCAGAGATGGTGGCACATACCTGTGTCCCTAGCTACTACTGGTGAGGTTTAGGTGGAGGATCGGAAGTGCACAGCCAGTCTGGGAAATTTAGTCAGAGCTAACCCCCCCCCCCCCCCCCCCACCAAGAAAAAAGAGCTGGAGGAATAGCTCAGTGCAAGGGCCTGGGTTCAACCCCAGAATTACAAAAAATAAAAAATAAGCTAGACAAAGAAGCTAGATAAAGTAATTGTATATTAGTGCTGATCATAACTTGGGTCTCCATTTTCTTCTCAAAGCAAGTAATGGTTAATATTAAGTTGACAAAATTTAAAGGGAGACATACGAGGGATTATACCCTCTTGGTTCTTTTCAGTTCATTTTCTCATGCATTATCTAATTTCATCAGTACAGTGATCTATTGAGCATGTTGGAATATTTAATAGAACAGTCCCTTTCACCCATTGTTCGTCTTTTCTTATCTTTGGAGGCCTGTAATGTTCATTGTCAATGAAAACATGAAAAACATACATATTTAAAATATAAATGCCCACCCTTCATCAGATAAGTAGAACTATTTCAAACCAAAAGTGCATTTTTGTTGTTCTGGTTCTCAAAATCAGCACTAATATCTGTTGTTCATCTCTGACAGTCTTATTGAATAATGCAAATCTATATTTGGTTTTCAAAGTTAATAGTGTTACATCCAGATTCTTTCAAAATGCATCTTGTCTATGGTTTTATGGTTTTCAAGCTTCTGTATTTGGAAGATGACTTTATTTTGTCTATCTCATAAAGTATGTTTAGTTCTTCAGCTTCTTGTGCCATGAGTGACATAGGAGATATTGACCTTTTTTTTTTTCCTTTTTTTTTTTTGTGTGTGGCTGGCTCAGCCCACCCTGGGAGTGGTTCTTTCTCGCCTGCCTGAGCAGGTGCTTTAGACCGCTGAGCTATCTCACTGGCCTAACCATGTTTTTTTTTAATGAATGTTTTAAATTAAATATAATATCATTATATTAATTTAACTGGTACATTATCAGTTATTTCATAATACTAGAAGTAGTTCCTTAAAGATGTCCAGTATGATCTTGAAGATGCGTGATTTAAAATAAAAGGTGACCAGCTGTGAGGAGCCCTGAGAAGTGAGAGCATATTGTATTAGTCTGTGTCAAGAGTGTTAGCTATCGGGAAGAAGGTGCCCTTATGCATGGGTATGTAAGTGCTGTCAAGGAAAGGGACGTATGTGGCTTAGCCCTTGTCACATTTTTGTCTTCTGTAGGCTTGCAAAAAGTAGTTGCAAAGCAGTTTTTGCTAAAGATTTCCAACCACTGTTGCTTAAATGTCTGTGTTCCTCTTTCATTTTTCTCCTCTCTAATGAGGTATTTACAATTTGGGTAGCTGAATACACTTCTTTTTGTTACTCTCTGTTCAAAATTTTCAGAAATCTCTCTTATCTACAATAATTCCAAAGATTTTGATGTCTGTAAGAATTTGAACTCAGTGTCTTTCTGGTAAAATCATTTATTTATTCTAGTTAGATTGATACTTTCAGCAGATGTTTACTGAATGTTCTCTGAATGCCAGTAATGTGCTAGGGCCCAGGGGTCAGCAGTGCACAGGCTTACGGTGTTGGTGTTTATTTTCTATACAAGGAAAAGAGACTATAAATGAGTAAATAAAGGACGATAGTGAGTTTGACACTTCGGAGAGAACTGATTGTTAGAAATAAGCCTGTCGGGTTCCCTCTTTCCTGGTAATGTTTTTAAATCACTATCTTTATCTCTTGCAGGCGAGACAGCCCAGATTTGAGCATGAGTTCACTGACTAGCTATGTAACTGTTGGCAAATTATTTCTCCTCTCTGTTTCTCAATTTATACTAAGTGTATATTAATAGAAAATCACTCATAGGATTCTTAGGAAAATTGAATCAGTTAAATCCACAAGTATGTAAAACAGCACCTGATATAGTTAAAGACTCAATAAAAATAATCTACATAAAGGGCTTTTTTCTCTTACAATATTTCCTCAAGTGGAAGTGTATAAAGAGGCAATGTGCCCAGTACAGGCCCATATGTGACTCTTAAGCTGGGTGTGGTAGCTCATGCTGAGAGTCCTAGCTCTTAGGAAGCTGAGGCAGGACGGTGGCAGGTTGCAGAGCACTTGCCCAACTTACTGAGGCTCTATCTCAAAATGAAAGAAAACGGCTGAGGCTGTAGCTCCAGCACAAAGCCCTGGGTTTAATTCCCAGTACTTGGGCACAGGGGATCCCCCCTGGAGGATCATGCGTAAGCCTTATATTCACTTATCTGACAAAACATTTGTCGTGATTGTGTTAAATTGAAGGAAAAGAACACAGTTAGGGTAGTCTACATTCTATTTGCTCTACTTTCTGCTTCTTTATGAGGTGTGCTAAGCACAAATTAGTATCTTACCCACTTAGTTCACAGTGAACAGTTCAGACTTATTTTCTAACAACTTTAACTTGCAAACTGTAACCATGAAATTGTGTTCATTTTGGGACTATCTCCCTTCTCTCTAAAAACGTAATCCATTAAATTCACTTTTAAAGATTTCTGTGATGACTCTTCCACATCTCGGTTCTCTGTGCCTGCCACAGGCCCCTCCAGCCCTCGTGCATCATGCAGCCCCCTCTTTCTCTATTCAGCTCCGTCTGGCCTTTCAGCCTAGCATGCACATCACTGCCAGACTGACAGTCCTAGAGCCACCTTTTATACGTTGCCCAGGCCACTGCCTTTGATCACTTATCCGAAGAGCCCTGTGCTACCTGAGTTGCTTCCTTCACGATGACCTGGTGTCTTTTGTCCCTGCCATTGACACTAGGTTCTCTCCATGAACCAGTGTTCTTTGTACAGCTCTCTGTGGTCCACAGCCAGCAGGCTCAGTCCTCTAGCCAGTGCTGGGCTCCTGTTCGTTCCATACCTTTGTCCCTCCCACTTTCTATGCAGGAATATAATTGTTTTCTAGGCAGGAGTAGCTCAAGTTTCTCCTTTTCCAGGACTCTTTTTACGTAGTTCACAGCATACTGTACCTTTCCTCTAAAACATACTGATTGACTCTCACATTTCTATACTAGTGATATGAGTATTAAAATACATCATTACAAACATGGCAGTTGTAATGTGTTTCACAGAATCACTAGCAGTGCTAACTTGAAATACATGCTCAAAAAATGATCATGTCACTTGCAGACTTTGAGGGTGAACTTTTTTCTTATGATTTCCCCCATTTATTGGTTTTCCCTTTGGTTCGGTAGAGGCTGCGAGTCGAGCCATCGTCCAGTTTCTGGAGATCAATCAGAGTGAAGAAGCCAGCCGAGGATGGATGCTTCTGACAACTATTAATTTGTTGGCATCCTCTGGTCAGGTGAGTTCTTAGTTTTCATATTTAGTACATTAACCTTTTCATATTCCCATAGGATTTTGTTATTAAATTTATCTTCATACCCAAACATGGTATTATAACCATTCAGGTGCTTATAACTGTTCTGAAATAGTATTTTATCTTTTCATCTCTTGATGCGGAGCTAGGTATTTTTGCACTGTATTGATGAGGAGCTGCCTGGGGTAGAGTGATGGTTTCCATCTCTGTGGTATTGTGAGGCGTGAGAACTAACACGTTCTTACCGTACTTGGGCAGAAAGCTAGGATGCTGTGGCCAGGGCACAGGGTCCCGGAGTTCCAGGGCTGTCCTTCGAAAAACTCCACTTAAGAGAAACTCTGCTTTAGAAAGATCAAATTCATCTAAGGTCGCTTAGCTACTTATTAGTAAGTGACATGAAAACACGTGTACATTTTTCTGAGTTCTGTAGAAAATAAGGAACATTGATATTTTCAGGCTTGCTAGCCTGTTGCCTTCTCACTTGTTTGCTATAGAGATTGTTTACGTCTTCCCAAATCAGCTTTAACTATATGTCCTGATACATAGTGCTTATACCTATTAGAAGGCCATTTGGATGCTTTGGTTTTGCTCTTAAGTTTTGGGACAAAAGAAGTTTATTCAGCCTTTTAAAATCTCTCCAGGGTTCAGCATAGTGAGTGCTACCCTGAGGAAACCCCCAGTCCTGGGAAGTTGGGCTTTTGGTCACGCTGAGCAGTCTGGAGTCCTAGAAGAGCATTGCCTTCATGTGTCTGTGGCTGTTCTGGATAACTGACAGAATGCCAGTTGTGCCCCATGCTGTTGAGAATAAGCACCTGTCCACCACTGTGTCCACATTGGGTTTATAGTAGTATACATAACCTTATGTGCAATTCAAATATCTAATTTTAATTTAAATTATTCTTTGCATTTAATATTAACAGCCTTTAATTGTAATCTTCTAAATCTGACTGGGGTGTTCTCAAGGTGCTGTATCTCTCCTCTTCAGTTGTGAGCAGTCTGTCTCTACTGTGGTACCCAGCACATGGTAGAAACTCAGTGTGGGTTTACTTAATCATACACAAATGGAGAAACAGCCTTAAGAGTGTAAGAAAAGAATCAGGACAGACCTGATCCTTGTCACTTACAACAATGACAAATGCTGCCAAATACTAATTTGGATGACAAATTATACTTAAAATCCATCAGGGCTAAGATGAAAATGAAAAATCATACTGCTTTGCTTAACAGAAAGGAAAAGCTAGTAAAAACATAACTAGAAAATGGTACACTTAAAAGCAAATTGTTGTAAGTTAAGCACCTTTTCTCTCTGAGTGCCATTTTCTGGCTGTTTGCTGGCCATTGGCTGGCAGTAGCAAAGTACACGTCAGAGTGAAATGTGGTCCTGACTCAGCATGCAGATGCCACAGAGGAAGGAGAGGGTCCCGTACAGTACAGTCATGGTGTGTGTAATGCTATGAAGGCAAAAATGGTAGAGTTGAACATTTGAAGGTCAGAGTAGGAGGAAGGATGAAGACTTGAAGGATGCTTGTGACCAAGCAGACATTTAAGCTGGGTGTCCAGGAATAATGAAGGGCAGATTGTTTATAGAGTTTGGAATAGGAAGTGACATTGGATATCCAGGCCTGGGCCTCGCAAAGGAAGTTCCTGAAGCCCTTTCTCCATCACCACTACTGCATTTGTTCTGGCCATCTCTAACAATTTTCTGTTACTTTCCTAATCATCCTCCTTCTGGCCCTCTGGGTTAATTTACAGTCTTCGCTACTGTCAGTTAATTTTCTGAACCCTGACCATCACTTGCTTGTTCATAACACTATGTTAAGCATCCATTGCCAGTAACAGTCGAGCTAGAATGGATACGAGCCCACTTTCAGGTTGTGGAACATGCACTTTGGATCGCTTAGGCAGCTCTTACACCCAGCAAGGTGTGTGAAAGAATAAGCCTCAGTGGCTTCCTTTGTGAAGCATGCACCATGTGGTAGAAGTGTCTGCCTTAAAGAATAGAGGAGCCTGCCTGTGTCAAGGCCGTAGCCTCACACCTGGCGTGCAGTGTCTCTAAGTGAAGAGGAACCACTGTTACTGTGGCTTCCCAGGAGTCAGCAAGGCGAACTCTGGTTCTTCAAGTGTACAGCATACCTCATGGCCTAACTTTGTCTGAGTCTTCAGGTGGCTTCTCCCTTCATTTAATCCCCTGTACTTTTCTCTTACATTCCTGGCAGTGTTGATGATTCTCTTTGCTTTTGGCTTATATGTGCTGCCGTTGTCAGACTTAAGAGATTAAATCACAGTTGCTTGTGGCTCTACTGTTGCTAGCGGACATCTCTAGGGCAGAGTTGCTTCCTTTCTCCATGCCCTGCCCCTGTAGATGCTGCCTGGCATACCCTAAAGCGGTGGTCGTGAACCTTGTAGAACTTTCAGTATTAGCAAACAACTGACTGAGGCCCACATGCCATAGCTTCGCCACCACTGCTCTAGACAGACATTCGGTACGTGTTTGATGAGAAAGTGGATGATCAACAGTGATGCCAGGAAGACTTTATTGCTATGTGATTTCTTATATCAAACTCTCATGGAAAATTTTCATAATTCTTAAATGGATATAAAATATTTAAGTGTTTAATTTCCTCCTTTGGAAAGAAAACAGTACAAAGATATACTTGTGTTCCTGATGCCTCAGTTTCTCTAGTGTCCTTCTAGACCCAAGAATCTGTAAGATGGATACAAATAATAATGATAGTAAAGCAGCTACTAATATATTTACTGTTTAATATGTCTTTGCATTTGTTATATAATCATCATGCTAACCCTACATTATGTCTCACTGTATTTTGTAAGGGACAAATGTGAGGCCCAGGAAAAGTAGTTTGCCCATGTTAGTTATTTATTGCCATTTCCTTAAAATCCCAGAGCTTATGCTCTTTAAAACATGCTGTTTCTTAATGAATAACTACCAGATTTAATGAGTAATTTACTGTGTAAAAATCCAATCTCAGTGTTTGATTTAAGCAAATTTGTCTAAATGGAAAATTATTTCTTAGCGTGGAGTTACTTTTAATTCTTAAATCCAATTTTTAAAATCACTATTTTTCTGCTTTAACATTTGTAAATTACTCAGCTGTATCAGAAAATTGCAGCTATGACTGTCTGTCCATTCACTTATTTATTGATTTGTTTTTCAGAAAACCGTGGACTGCATGACAACGATGTCAGTGCCTTCCACCCTGGTTAAATGTTTATATCTGTTTTTTGACCTTCCACATGTGCCTGAGGCAGTTGGAGGGGCACAGAATGAGCTACCTCTAGCAGAGCGGCGGGGACTCCTCCAGAAAGTTTTTGTACAGGTAGGAAAGGTGCTATGTGCCTGGGAGGGGCATCTCGAGAGCCCAGCAACAATAAAGTTGGCGCCCCGGCCAAGCAGGCCTTTCGTTTTCATTATGTTGTAACCTGGTCTCATCATTGCAACATTCCTTGTGTCAGCAGAGAATATTGAAGTGTTGTTTTGGGGAATATATAAGTAAGGCAACAAGTTTATTTCTCTGAACAGATTTTAAAATTACATTTGATTTTGAAATTACAGTTGATATATCAATAATATCTCTAAAAGGAACTACCCAAGGACAACTTTTTTGACACTCATATTAAGATTTAGGTATTATTTCTTATAATATCAATTGTTTTCAGTTATATCACTGTCTTAGTTATTTTTCTCATAACTGAGACAAAATACCCAACACCTAAAGTTATAGGAAGAAAGGTTTATTTAGCTCACAGTTTGTGGAGGCTTCAGTCTGTAGTCGGCTGGCCCCAAGGCAGGGTGGCATGGTAGAGGGGCATCACATAGAAGAAATGGTTCATGACAAAGCAGGACAAGCAGAAGGCGGCCAGCAGGGAAGCAGCAAGCAGGAATCCACAGCAGTGTCCTGCTTCTATCCCTTGTATTCTGTCCACACTCCCTGCCCTCAGTCAAGGCAGGTAGCACTCGCACCTGGGATGGGGCATGCCTTATTCTAGCATTGCACTATAAATCAGTGCTAGTAGCATATCCTTAATCTAAGCGTCACACTGTAGGTCCAGCCACCTCTGAAAAGCTCCACCTGTGATCTGACGAGCTTGCCACTCGGATTTATCGAGTAAATTTTTATTCACAGGTTGAGAGGTCTTGAGTCTTCTTTGAAAGCCAGCCTTAAGGAAGTTGTTGGTAACAAAATACATGTAAAAAATACCTTCAAGCTAAGATGACTTATTCATATATCCTCTTCTACTTGTGCACAGAACTGAAGCAGTGTGAAAATTCTTTCACTTTCAAAGATCTATTTTGAATCTCTTATCCCCCTAAAGCTGTTCTTTTAAAGAAAGTTGCAGTACAGATTAAGCCTGAAAGTAATAAATTGAGTAAAACATAGACAATGAAGGGGAGTTCTGTTTCATGTTATCTTAAGCCACAGTGTGTTAAAAAAAAACACCATGGGCGGGGCTGGAGAGATGGCTCAGTGGTCTAAAGCACCTACTTAGAACAAGCTTGGCAAAAGCATCAGGGACCGTGGTTCAATCCC